TATATATATATATATATATATATATATATATATAATTAAATTATATAATAATTATATATATAATTATATATATTCTATGAGTATATGGAGATGGATAAATTAAATTGAATTAAATTGAATTAAATTTCTATTGGTTTCTTGATAAATAAGAAACCAACAGAAAGTTTTAAGAAGGCCTGGGAACCACTGATCCCTTTTTAAAAAACAAAAGCAAAAGGTAATTTTACTGCATATGTTATTTGATTTTTTAAAAACAAAATATGGAATAAAATCAAGCCATTTATAGATAGGTATCAAACCGTAAGAACAAGGACTTTTAAAATGAACTCGGGTTACATTTAGAAATCAACGATTGTGAAGCGGACAATGGAATTAAAAGAGGAATTTATAAAAGGTTGCATGTATGAAGAAGAATTGGGAAAAAGATATAGTTGTTCTCTAGAAATTTTCAGTTTCAAAGAGAGAGGTAGAAAATAAAGTGAAAATCAACCGGGAAGGAATCATTTCTAATTTTTCTAATATTTTAAGAAGCATTAATATAATAATTAGGAAAAATAATAATCGGGATACGTGTTTGTATATGTTTGTTGTTGTGTATTTATTTTTGTGGGGAGGGCAGGTTGTTTTGTGTAATGTATGGATGGATGTATTTCAATTTAATTTAATTTAATTTTTTAAAAAAACTTTAAACATGTATTGAGTTCAATATGGAATGTATTTAAATACATCTTTTCTAAGTTGAGCAATGTTGCTGCCTTATAACATGTTAAAACATGAATGTGCGAATTAAAATAAATGGAAATAAGTTTGCGCATGTTTTTTTGTTAAATAATGAATGTGTTTCAATAAACCTGAGCAACGTTATCGCCTTATAAAAATGTGCAAATTAAAATAATTGAAAACCAGTGTATACGTGTTCTTGTTAAATACGGAAAGCGTTTAAATAAATCTGTTCTAACTTGAACAATGTTGCTATACTGCCTTATAAAAATGTTAAAAGTACGTATGAAGGTGCAAAGGCAAATATTGCACACGAAAGTGTAAGTGTAGTGGTTTTGAGCACTTGGGAAATCGGGGTTCGAATCCCGACTTGGCCCACTGGGTGTGACTTGCCAAAGCGTGCCGGATAAAACTACAAATCCCAGGAATCTCTCGGCAGTCAAACAGCATGATTTCCACAGTGTGGAGGCATCCTTTGAGAGAGAAACCGTCTGCGTCCGCACCGGGACACTTGGGCAAGTCACACTCTCTCAGCCTCAGAGGATGGCCATGGCCAAGAAGAAACTTGGCAAGGAAAACACCATGATAGGTTCGCCTTCTTGTCGTCGTTGTGGGCCTGCAAACCATTTCTGACTTATGGCAACATTAAGGCAAACCTATTGTCGGGTTTTCATGGCAAGTTTCTTCTTCTCTGAGGCTGAGAGAGTGTGACTTGCCCAAGGTCACCTGGGTGGGTTTTTACGCTCAAGCGGGGATTCGAACCCTGGTCTCCAGAGTCATAATCCAACACTCGAACCACTACATCACACTGGCCTTAAGAGTTGTGATAAGTCGGAAATGACACAACAACACAAACTGGATTTTTTCTGCAAGCAAACAATAGACTTTTGCTCATCTACTATGAATAAATGGGATGGCTTTCATTTGGCCAAGGGTTCAAACAAGGGTGCATGCTATATATATATATGCTATCGGTTATATATATATATATATATATATATATATATATATATATGCAGAATATATTGCATGGAAAGTGGGATTAGATTCAAAGAAAGTGTGAAATTTGGAGGAAGAAACCATCAAGAATATTTTCGCTATGCAGACGACGCCGTCCTACTAGCAAAGAACTTCAACGGCTTCAAACAAATTCCTGATGGAAGATAAGGAAGAAACTGGAAAAGCAGGGTTGCGGCTGAGTGCAAAGAAAACAAAAATAATGAGATATCTTCTTTTTTTTTTACCCAACTGAAAAGTGTAATGATAAAATCAGTTGAATAGTTAAGATGGTCTTTATCTATACCTTGGTTCGGTTATAAATTAAAATGGGATTTTAGATAAGAAATTAGAAGTCAGCGGTGGTCGGAGTATTGGACTATGATACTGGAGAACAGGGTTTGGTTCCCCTCTTGGGCTATGAAACCCACCGGGTGACCTTAGGCAAGTCACACTCTCTCAGCCTCAGAGGAAGGCAATGGCAAACCTCCTCTGAACAAATCCTGCCAGGAAAACCCCATGATAGGGTTTGCTTTAGGGTTGCAATAAATCGGAAATGACTTGAAGGCACACACAACAAGGAAAATATTTGGAAAGGCAGGCGTAAATATTTGAAGAACTATATCTCCCCAAAGGCACCAGATGCTGTCTGGTTTTGGAGGCAAAGCAGGGTCAGCCTTGGTTAGTAATTGGATGGGACAGTTATATTTTAGAGGAAGGAGCGATCAAAATCCACTCCACTTTATCCCTTGCAAGAAAGTATAGGTTAGGGCAGTGGCAGGAGTCATTGTGTTGCTGCTCTTGGTCCAAAACACATGGCAGAAACAATCCAGTTTGAGACTGCTTTAACTACCCTGGCTCACTGCTAGGAAATCCTGGGATTTGTAGTTTACCGTGGCACTAGAGCTCTCTGACAGAGAAAGTGAAACGTCTCACAAAACAACAGTTCCCGGAATTTCCTAGCATTGAGCCAGGGCAGTTAAAGTGGTCTCAAAGTGGATTATTTCCGCAATGTGTTTTGTAACCCTTTTAAAGAGCTTGAAGTCTTGGGAGTGCATCTACACTGTGGAAATCATGCAGCTTGATACCGCTTTAACTGCCACGGCTGAATCCTACAGAATCGTGGAATCTGTCGTCTTGGGAGGCAAAAGACCTTGTGCAACTACAGATCCCAGGAATGCATAGGATGGAGCGACAGCACATAATATTGAATTGCAGCGCAGATGCAGCTAGAGATTTTTGCTGATTTTTCTGCAAATCTACCTCCTGCCCATCCCAGTTTGGGAATAAACTAAATCTCCCCCAGAAAGAAGATGTAGGGTATCTTGGAATAATTTTGCATTCATGCAGATAAGGAAAAACAAATAAGGAGACAATCTGCTCAGGTCTTGCCAAAGCTTCCTCAT